GCAAAGCTAAATAAAGTGTTTGTAGTGGTGTCGTTGTGTTGGTCCCGGGATATTAGAGACACAAAGAAGGTGAGTGGTATCTTTTACTGGACCAACTTCTGTAGGTGAGAGAGACAAGCTTTTCAAGCTACACAGAGCTCTTCTTTGGGTCAAGAGCTGGTCCTGTAAAAGATGTTACCTTACCTCCCTTGTCTCGCTAAAGCTACATATGCTCAGGTCTTGGACTATAATCCTTTTGTAAACATCTAGGCACTGTGAGAAGTGGTTTGGGATACCCATACTGATTTAGTACAGAAGCAACATCCCAGCACTGAGTTAGGAGGATGTTGTCTCATCTTTGGAGTGCACTGTAAAACCCAAGTCCTACCCATATGTGGTCATACAGGTTCTGCTTAGGGTGACCAGATAGCAAGGGTAAAAAAAATGAGATGGAGGAGGGGAATAATAGGACCCAAAAAGAAAAAGCCCTAAATATCAGGATTGTATGTGTAAAATAGGGTCATCGAGTCACCCTGGTTCTATTGGCACTTTTCATGACACTGAAAAGGGTTAAGCTCACTGTCATTGTATCGAAATACCTTTGACATTTCAAGTGAAGCAGGGTTTTTCACTTCCTGTCCTAAACATCTCTTAAATTCTAGAAGTGACCTCATTTGAGTGTTGACTGTGGGGTCTGAGACCTGATCCTGCAGCCAGATCTACACAGATCTGTGCATTCAGCTACAATGGAGTGTGTAAAGCACTTTGGGATTTAGTGATCTGAAATAAGTGCTGTTAACAAGCTGTTTTGATTTCCTACAACAGGGTTAGAAAACTGTGTGTCATATGTGGGTAGATGTCCACTCCTAGAGCTTTATATTGCATGGTAACTGACCTTTTCAGCCACTTCACAGGTAGTGGGTAGGACCGAATACCATTTAGCTTAGAATACCAGATATCAAAGGTTGCAATAAAAAAAGGGTAAAAAACGAAGGCAGATCACGCTTGATAATCTCAAGGTTTCTTTTATAGGGCTTGAAAATGTTCCTCTGAAGTAGCTACGTGTGCCGTATCCTCAACAGTGATCCAAAATTCCACGTTCTACATAGCAATGATTATATTACCAGGCAGAGCTGCCAGGGGGTGGAGTGTGGGAAACAGTCTCACTTAAGAAGCTCTCTAACTTGTGTAAGAGAGTAAATTGCCTGTAACAAAACTCCTAATTATAACCTTGTTAGTTCCCTACCCAATAGAGGAGTGCAATAACTCACATGCAAGGTTGTTCTCTCTTTAAAAAAAATCTAATTTTTATTGCACCTTTTAGTTGGTGAAAATAATCCTCAGAGATGGCACAGGATCCCAGCTTTCCAATGATACTTTCTTTTCTAATTGAAGGGCAGTTTAGTGCTTGTGTAAGGTGTCAGATGGACAGCCCATCCTAATTTGAGAGAATAATAAATCATATCTAGCTTTTATGTAGATCTTTCCAGCAGGACATCTTGGACCAATTCACATTGTTTATCCTCACAACACCTTGGTAAGGCAGGGTAGTGCTGTTATCCCCATTGCACAGATGGACAACTGAGGCACACTAAGTGACTTTCCCAAGGACACACAGGAAGTCTGAGACAGGTAAGAGAATTGAACATGAGTTTCTAAAGTCCCAGGCTAATTTCCTGATCCCGAGACATCCTTCCTTAAGTGCCAGAAAAGCTTTTGCCATGCAAAATTTCTATATTGCCTGGTCTCGATCCTCATTTAAAAAGATCAGATTTAAACCTGAATGATTTCTCCAGTTCAGACCTTCGGTGGGACTGGCAGGGATGATTTTTTTGTTGTTGTTAATGATGTGACTATAAGCTCACTTATTTATTCCACTGAACAGCCCTTACATGAGGACTGAATTATCATTCACTTTCTCTGACTGGATTTGAACCTGTTGCCAAGAGGTTTAAAAGCTTCACAGCTCACCCACCTTCAGGACTATCATTTCCCTCTTAACATCTGTTGTACAATTTTAGCTCCAAAGCCTGAGAGAGAAAATTCCTAACCACTTTTGAGTAACAAGTTGATTTGTGTGGCTCAGGGCCGGCCCCCAGCTTGCCTGGATCTAGCCCCTGAGGCTTGGGGCTCCCGCCCCCCAACAGTGGGGAGTCCGTGTTGGTTCTCCAGTCCCCTCACTGTCTCCCAGCAGAGTTGGAGCACACAAAATCTACTAGGCTGGGCCCCCGAGGTTCTGGTGCTGGAGGGGAATGTGGGGAGTGTCCTTCTCCTCAGTGAAGGGTATTTTTTTTGTTTTGTTTTGGCTTCTCACTTGCATACAGCCCCCGAATGATTTTTCTGTGGGTCAGCAGACCCAAAACCAAAAAAGGTTCCCCATCCCTGGTGTAGCTAGAGCTCAATTTATCAAGACAAAGCTTTCTGTATAGGAATACCCCACTACTCTTCGAAACAAGGGCTTGCTTTCCACGTTTTTCTTTTTAATTGAGGGCTAAATGGATAGTGCTGGAAGGACAGTGCTGTGATCTAGTCTTTCTGCCACACAGCAGATTAAAACAGTACAGGGCAAGCTTCTCCCTACAGCCCAGTCAGGGATTCTCAAATTTCTTCTGGAGGAACCCTCTGGAGGAAGTCCAAGGACAGAGATCTGATTCAGTGGTGGGCAACCTGTGGCCTGTTGGGTTGCCAGATTCTGCTTGTTTTTGGTCAGTATAGTTTTTCCTATCAGTATTAAAGTGACAGCTGCTTTTGCGGAAAAACTTGCCAGCTGTCTACACTGGCCGCTTGAATTTCCGCAAGAACACTGACTTCCTACTGTCTGAAATCAGTGCTTCTTGCGGAAATACTATGCTGCTCCCGTTCGGGCAAAAGTCCCTTTCCCGCAAAGCTTTTGCACAAAAGGGCCAGTGTAGGCAGCTCAGATTTGTTTTGCGCAAAAAAGCCCCAATTGCGAAAAGCACATCTAGATTAGCATGGACGCTTTTCTGCAAAAAGTACTTTTGTGGAAAAGCGTCCGTGCCAATCTAGATGCTCTTTTCCGCAAATGCTTTAATGGAAAACTTTTCCGTTAAAAGCATTTGCGGAAAATCATGCCAGTCTAGACGTAGCCTGAGAGTAAGCCACTGGATTATAGATCTTGGCCTTGACTTTCTCTCTGTGCCTTCTGTGATGTGGCCTCCCATCAGCTGTTGACCACTCTTGGTTTCACATGTCACCATGCAGCTCCTCTTCTGGCTCAGTAGTGCTACATTCCACCACCCTCTTTGAGAAGGGGCTAATTCTGTATTTTGATTGGAATACACCAAACTTGCTGGCTTTCTCTTCCAGTCCAGGGTTTCCTGAAGTTTCTAATCCAAGCTCCCGATGGCTGAGGTTTTCATCTGGTAGCTGCAGGATCGGGGGGCATTCCTACAGAGCAGGATTAAAAATGATCTGGAGAATTACAAAATTCACTGGTCTGCCTAGGGTGGGAGCCTTGGTTAAAACTAATAAAACTCATTGGCTGCAGCTTGACCCGCTTCCATTGCTCAAAAGCCGGAGTAATGAAAAGGGGGTTAATGTTAAAGCGCCTTCAGCAGGGCAGAGAAAAGGGAGCAGGGGTGGCCCATAGACTCAACCTTACTCCCCTTGGAGCAGGGGTGGGGGACAGCCTTGCCTCGAGAGGGGATCCTAGGGGCTGGTTGCTAGGGGCAGGTACAGCCGTCAGGGTCAGACAGAAGCGGGGGCTTTTAGGTGGTGCGAAGGACGCAGCGTGCCAGACTTAATATCTGGGAGGGGGCAGGGATCCCCTCGCCGGGGTTCAAGCGCGGCTCTGCGCCCAGGGCAGGCTGGGCCCTTCTGCTTCTCCTCCCTCGGCAGCAGGGGAGCCCAGTGACCGCCCCTGGAAGCGCGGGACGCGGCCCCGCCCAGCTGCCTCTGGGGTGCTACCTCCGA